ATCCCCATATAACCCCAATATACTGAATTAGAAAATCAGAGTATACTATAGCAATATATTCTAGTATACTATAAATGTGCCACTGCCAAGGATGGCAATCCTGCCCAACCTTCTTGCCAGCCTATTGCTTAAAGCCTCAGTCTCCAAGCAGTCAACCACTACAAAAGATACTGCAGTTGTATCTAATAGTCTGGAGGATGGGGCAAGAATCAACCGAGCCCCTTAACTTTGAAGCCTGTACCATAACGTTTTATGTGCAAACCTTTAGCCCGCAATCTTGAAGCACATGCACGAAACACCTACACTCAAAAACCCTCCAACTTAGATTTGCAGAACAGAGACTTCGAATTTGATACATAAAGCGCCGCCCCAGGCCGAAGCCCAAGGAGCTGAAGTTCAGGACCCCCAGCCTCCAGTCTCAATGTCCGGAAACACAAAACTATGTAGCCCCAAACCCAACAAGATCCCTTTCGTAGAATCCCGTGCAGACCTTGTAAAAACCTGACACCACCTGTAGAAATCAACATGCAATTTCTTTTGCCCACCGAGAATGGCGCTAAAGAACAACGACAAGAAACTTGCAGGCGGAGTCTTCAACAACCGAGCTGAGGCACCACCCTGTTGTACGGGATTTCTGTGTTTTTGTTGGTTCACAAGCTTTCTTATGGCTGGCATCTCAGACTTTGGGGTAGGTTTGGATTGTAACGTTGAAGGCTGTCTACCGATATTCGCATAATTTGTTGTTTACTTTGGAGTGATGGGCAGAGGGTGGCTACCGAAAGCTAGGTGCACCCAACCTCGATACTGCAGTCCGCCTCCTGTTGTTCTTAGACGGAGTTCCCATCCACATTTAGGCGCTCTGAGGTTTTCCTATTTCAGCTTCCCGTCTTGGGGTTACAAGACTCACAGACTTCCTGCATATGCTTCAGAAATATTCTTCCGGGGCCCAGCGCGTCCACACCAAGCACGGAGCATGTCCAGAGAGTTCCGCTTGTGCTTGCAGCTCAGGGTGCGCAGAAATTGTTCCTGACTCTTCAGCGGACATGGGCCAATGCTGATTTGATTCTGTAAGAGAAGGTCATGCAAGGCAGCAAGGGCAAGACATTGACTTTAGGTATCTTGTAGCATTTATCAGATTTTAGCTTTGCATAACCTTTTGCACGACAGTCCTGGATCCGAATAAGACTAATCCAACTTGCATGTAACCCAGTAAATAAAACCTCTCCTGATGTTATTCGTATATGGCCAGTCAAGCTTTTCAAATGTCCATGGTGAGTCGTGGATCTCTAGAAAGGCATGGGGGCATGGTGCCTTGGCTGGACTTGGACAGGGATAGCAACATGTCTCCTGATGGTTTACCTTCTGGTCTCGTACTACCTCTTCTGATTCTACGTACCAATAAACGGAATGAGCGCTCACGTTGTTTTCCAGGTAATTGTCGGAGCATTGGTCACAGCGCTGGAGGCTCGCCCCGATGTACAGTGATGAGTAAAGTAGGTTTGCTATGGATGCTTCTGGTGATTGCTGACGCTCCTCTTGGTGTCTCGATGATAAGGGCCTGAGTGCTTCGGCAATATTGACGCGTCTGTATAATTTCCTGAAGAGTCTGGCAAGTTCACGTATTGAAATTGGTTTCCCATTGTAAGAACTAAAACCTTGCGCAATCACGCTCTGTGAAGGTAAGCAGCATAACGTGACGGTGTTAGTTGGCACCTGCAGATTGACCAAAAGTGACAAGAGACCCCCTGTACTCTATAAGCGGGAATCTTTCCTACTCGCTCAATTGTCCTCATGGTATGCGTATGGACCTTGATTTCGGGCCACCATTGAAGCCTCAGAGTCGTGGCGTGAGAGGTCATGAACGTCAACCCTCTTAAACCTAGAGCCGGACGACTTGAGCATTCCTGAACATCTAAATACATGCACAAGGCGCATGCTGTGCAAGTTGTCATGACTTGCTTGGACGGTCATCCGGCGGCCCTTTCTGAAGTGCAGAATTGTGCCTAGCAAAAAGGAATTCACCACATTGGCTCTTGTGTTTGGGACACCTGAAGAGGCACCTCGCAGTTTTGTAACGGGCAAAACTTACATCCAAAGCCTTCGGACCTCCATGAATGCCATGGATCCCAATGCACTCCTTTGAATGCCTGTTAGTCCTGAATGGCCATGCATACCCATAGGTGATTAAAGATTTTACTTCATCTCTGCCACTCCGAAGTGAACTATTCGAAATGTGGATGACACCAGGTGTTGGCTGCACAGGGCGTGGAGGTCCACTCAAGGTCAGCCAATGCCAGGGCTAGGGCCTCCGGGGTTGAACAGACGTGCCGCGCCGTGAATCAAGTCTCATTACAGCATCTCCTTACCCTCTCGGTGCTTAGGAGGTCCTTTTTTATGCTGTTTTTGTTGGGGCTGAATACCAGAGAGGCCATAGATTATTCAAAGAAGGGTTTGCATGGCTGCAGTTTCTGGTGGAAGGCACCCTAGCAAGTGCGCGGTTGGGCACTGGTAGGGCAAGCTGGCAGGGATTCGCACGATGCTCGAAGCACCCGTTGGCGTAAGAGAAGCGCCCGGGCTCAGGCTCAGGGAGCTTGTAAGTAATTTGCTGGCTTCTAACCAGACATGCTCACTCGCCAATGCCTATTTGGAGTACTTCCCCCATGGTGTGGCTGAGCACCAGGCAAAATGTTTGCAAAACGTAGGGGGAAGGGCAGGGCCCGTAATAGTAAGGCTCTCAGCTTTGATCTCCCCTCGGATTGGTGGTGACTCCCGACAATCCCCGACATCCGGAGACTTGTTTTTCAGGATTAGCCTTGTCAGCGTGTAAGACAACATCAGCCCTGGGGGGGGGGGGGAAATTGCAGGAATTGATATGCACATGGGATGCTTCTCCGAGCAGGTTGGACGTTCGACTGCTCGCTTTCCGTGGCAGCGCTGGTGAGCAGGAGAGCACTGCACTTGAACATATTATCTGGCAGCGCGATCGGGCCCTATAATGTTCAGCACGCAGGCAACATGAACTTCAGGTGTTTTTCTCTTTTTTTAAAATTTAATCTGCTGTCAAACAGGTTCCAGACCATCAAGAATATGTATTCGAGGGGACTCTAGCTTCGACACGTGCTTGCATGCATGATCGGCAGAGATTTAGAGGTTGCATGCCGGTCCGAATACTAACATATGGGTTTTCGTTTACAAAGCAAATAGAAAAAGCCTTTGGCTAGTTTCGAAATGTAGTGGCATAATATGACAAATTTCCAAGCAAGAGAGATCTTGATTGGCAGAAGCAAAGCACAGATCAGCGGTTTCTGATTCCCTTCTTCTTGTTCGTAAGGATTGTGATTTGGGGTACCCACACGGAAACAAAAAACACAAAACATCGAGAAACAAGCCTGCTAGCTCATTTAGAGATGCCGCAGAGGATATGGGTTCCGACTTCTCAGTTTGTAGTTACCGGAATCCTAGAGTTCAAGCACCAAGGCCAGTATGTACACTGGAGCTGAAAGTTGGATTAGGCTTGCCTGATGCATCCCTGCAGGAGCGTATGGCCAAGCTGCTGAGCAGCCTGTCTCCCAAAGCTACCGCAGCGGCGCCTGGTGGTCTCCTCACAGCGGCAGCAACAGCAGCGCCTGCTGCATCCACTGCTGCGGCATCTCCTACCTTGACTTCTTCGACTTCATTTGCAGCTCCAGCGCGCCGAACAGAGGCCACGCCTCCTGCAGAGATGGCGAAGGCAGAGCCCCCCCTCCCTGCAGAGCGAGGGGAGCCTCTTGCGAAGTCGTTTGCCCGGGGCCCTGCCGAAGTCACGGTAGTGCCAGACGACCCTCCTGAGAGCAGGGCAGTCAAGCGACATGAGCCTGCGGCTCCAGCGGGGCCTCCAAAGCCGGCAAAGAGATCTGTGCTGGACATGCTCCTCGGATCTGACAGCCAGTGACACTGACCGCAGCGCGCAGCTTGCGGATGCCACTGGTGCCACTTGCCTAAAAAGCTGACCGACGTGCCCTCATGCACATTGATGGCTCCGGCCTGCTGCGTCAAAGTGGAGCCTGGACGACGACATGCAAGCTACACGTGCGCTTGCCTGGGTGGGTTTTTCTTGTCAGGGGCCAGTTCTTCTTGAAGTAGGTTTTGCTCCTTTCTGGGTTGTGGCCCTGAGCCAAGCAGCATCCTTTTAGCTTAGCACCTTTCAAAAGCCCGGGCTAAGCCTTTCCGACCTTCTCAACCTTCCTGAGGGTCCTGTTGCCACTGCAGCCCAAGCTACTCAACCCTAAAAATGTGGCACAGGATGCTTCAGAGCGACCTAGATATCTATCTCAGATTCACTCACTTATCCTATGGCTGAACTTCACCAGTTGCATAGTCAGGTACCATGGATGGGGTGTATGAAATCAAAGCATGCTTTATTGCAACCTGTCAAGAAGCCGGGGGACAGACAGAATGGGCGCCGCCGAGGCTGAAAGCCGAAAACTTGGAAGAAATATCTGCATATTTGTGTTTCCGGCTTCTTTCCTGTCTCTTTGAAGTTGGCTCAGGTCTGTAGAGAAACACGAATGGGGATTTGAGTTGTATCCCCCTTAAACTTAGATGCTACTCCACTTGCAACGAGGTTGGTATGCTAAGTTCTCCCACTCAAGCAATTTAGAGTTGCTCGTTAAGAAGGTAGTGAACAATTTTGCCTGACAGTTCCGATTGACGCCATGGCTTTTATTGCGGCGCCTGCACAATCGGGCAGGCCACTCTTTCTTCAAGTAACAGGAACCACCTTGTCAACTGCTTGCACTGAGAAGAGGCATGCGCAAAGTTTGCTAGCCGCAGTCGGACGCCTAGACAGCAGGCCCAGGCGAGAAACATCATCTCAACAACCAATACGTTGCACACAGTAGCCCAGCGTTGAATGCCGAGCTTACGTATCATGTGGGCTCATCATCCAAGAAACCGTTTCCGGTCAAGCACCGGAGCTAGCATAGATACTGCATGCTGATTTTAGGCATAGTTAGGCATAGCTGCGTCAATTCAACTGGCAGGTACCTCGATCTCAAAACTGTTAGGAGGGTGGTTCCCAAAATGACTATGTCAATCAGCCGGCCGGTGACTTGCTGGATGGAAGTTTCTGGATGGCATTTGTTCTCTTCATTGGTGAAATACGAGAAGTTTATGATGAAATCGGTGTTCACCAGCCAACCTCGCTTTTTGAGATCTTGACCAGGACTGCCCGCTGGGAGCATGGCACAGGTCCCTTGGCCAGAGGGTTGCATTCACAAAATGGTTGATCGCCTACATGATCTGCCTGTCCTAGTCCTCATCCTCAGCAGCTGGAACAGGGGCCGCGGCAGTACCTGCAACAGTCTGCAACAAATCTTCATGCTCAGTTCCCGTGTCATCGATTTTTCGCGGAATGGTTCTTGCTTCTGAAGGTCCTGCTTAAACATAGGGAGACAGAGTAGTATATCCGCCATGTCACCCTAATGATGCCATGCTAGAAGCCAGTAAGGTCGAGCCGCATCCTCGCCCACGCCCCGAATTCGGAGCGCAATCCAGGGTTCTCAGGCCAGAGCCTGTGATCATAGAGAGGGGCTGTGCATTTCTAGCTACGTCTTCTATATACAAGAACTATATAGTAGGATGGTCCGCCAACACACCCCGGGAGGATACTGAGAACAACAGCCGTCGCTGCGTAGTGCTTCTTTCGAGTAATAAGATTGATTCCACTCATGCCGTTTCATGCATTATGTTCAATGTTATAGTCGCAATACCAGGACAAGAAGATATCCAAAACATGTCAGCACAGGCATTGACCATGAGCGGCAAAGCTCACGAGGGAAACTCCCCACCGTGAGGATGTCGGGGTAGTTTAGGGGGGGTAGGGGAGTGGAATGCTTGAAGGCACGTTTAGGCTAGTGCATTCCATTTAAGCCTCATCAGATCACTACACCCTCCCCTTCGCCTCCTCCATCCTCCCTTTGCTCCGCCCACATGCCCTCAGTGAACCTCAGCTGTCAACAGGCTGGTGTTGTTGCTACGGCGGCTATTGTCCTCAGTGCCAGGTGGGCATGAGAAGCCTGTGCATCGAGCAATTTCAGGATGGGTGACATTGGAGCTTCTCAAAGCCTAATTTTCTCAAATTTCTTCCCAGGGCTTCTGGAATCCTCATATGTCTGCGTGCCGGAGGCTACCTCGATTTCCAGAGGCATTTACCCTTCTTTGGAAATCCATGAGATTCCTTAGGTAATGACAGCTGGAACTGGCGAAATATCAGAATTGTTAAGTTATACTCGGATGATGCAAACTTCCGGGTGATTCAACTGCCAACAAGAAGCACTTGCCATCCTTATCGGGTTTTGGGGTTCTTTGAGGAGAAACAGACATTTCTTTCGCGTGGCCGGCTTGGGTACAGCTGGCTTTGGCTTGGGGCCTATGACCATCTTTCACGCAAGTTTGCTGACATGCTGGCCTGCAAGGGTTGCCATTCTGGCCCGTGGATGCAAGACGTTCCCTACTTCCCCCAAACATGCAGAGCTTGCGTCGCCCTGCTTGGCACCCTGGGGCAATGGCCGTTTTCAGTAGTTCGGATTCCTTCCTTGAACATTCGCTGCAAGGAAACGTTTTGGCAAAGGCTTTCATGTGCGACCCCCAAAGCAGAGACGCTAGCTTTCTAGGAGTTTGCCCGAGTCATGAGCTTCCGGGCTTGCTCCAATTCTTGGACGCCGCTGGGAGGACCCAACATGCATGAGTCCCTGAGCAATTAATCCTGTGTTCCTCGTTGCGGCTGCAATTGGTCCCCAGCGATGCCACCAGCCTCTCCGGTATTTTGGCAGAATTCTGGCTTCACAGAAGATATTCCATCCAAGACCAGCCCCTGAAAAAGGGGATTACAGTGGTGGTGCTCCTGGCGTTTTATGAGGCAGAAGACATCAATAGACCTTGTTCAAAAGGCCCACTTGTTTGCATAGAACGTATGTTGTATGTGTGTATAACTATACATATATTGAAGAGGCCGTTAAGGTATTGACAGAGCAATGTCTTTTCAGGGTGTCTGCTGACAGCTGGCCTCCAATCAGCACGATCGTGTCCACAATGGCAGGCAGCGAGCTGCACGGCGCCGTCCGCAAGGGCAAGCAAGGAGGCAGGCGTGTTCTGCCATGCAGAGTATGGCTAGCTTCCGTGCTCACATGTAGATATTCTGGAAGTAGCAGCAGCGGGGGCGTTTTCCGACGTGCGCCCATCTCAGTAAGTTGCACGCCGCAGTTGCGGTGGTAGCAGGTGAAGAAGTGCCAAGGAGCATGACTAGGATTCGTGCTGCTCCGTGTTGCGTATGTAGAGTCAGTTAGGGAAAAGGTGCCACGCACCGATGCCCCGACGCCCACACATCTGCAGCGGCTGCAAAACTGCTGTTGGTACACGTGAGCTAGGAGTCTTATCATCGTACAGTGGATGTATAATGAGTGCCCGATATGTTGCTGAGTGTATTGCAGAAACTAGGAGGCTCATCTCTGAACGCATAAGGTGTTGTCAACCAGAAACGCCACGTTACCGAGGTATGACATCTCACCAAAGCGACGCATTCTTGCCATCAAGAACAGGGCCACTGATGCTAAGGATGTGCGCAATTAGAATCTCTTATCTATGCAACAGACAGCGGGTATGGCCTGCCCGAGGCTACTGTAGCTGTAGGGCTTGTCTTTGAAGACGCGAGGTCCCAGATAGACATTGATTTTTTGCACATGATGAAGGGTCGTGCTTTCCAACAAGTGGCCCAAAAGAGACTGTTCAAGAGCTGTATCCCCCAACCGGAGCTGCATAGACCTCAAGGCCTACAGATGCGATGGATAAAATGCAATGCGCTCCATGAAACGCATGGCCTCGCCTTCTCACATGTTCTTTGAAAGGAGGCTCGTACAACAGAGCCTAGTCTCGTCTCCGAAGGCTTGCGCAAAACTTACCAGGGCTGGTGTTCAGAAGCTCAAAGCACTATGGGAGGGGGCTTGTCTACACTACACTTGTGCAGGCTTCTCGAGAGGAGTATGATATGACAATGCACCTTTCAAGGACACTCCCTAGCCCGGCGTGCTCCTTGCGAGTGCAGGGGAAGTAACTAATTGTTTAAGGCACCTTGGAAAATGGCAAACGATTACTAGAGCACACAACTGCATACCGCTGAACATCTGGCCCTTTCACCCCAAACTTGGCAAGCATACAACCTTCAAAGCTAAACTTCATCCGCATCATCTTGCAGTAACCCCGCAGTTTTTTCTGCAGCACTTCAGCGAACCCTACGTCTCCAACCCTGGTGGACGTCTCCAACCTGTCAGACCTTCAACTACACTACACAGTCCGAGAGCACTGAACACCCCGGACCGATAAAGCTTGCATCGCCCAAAACGACTCAAGAACCATGGGGCTCTGCTAGGTCGAGGTGCCTTCGTGCAGCAGGAAGTCTTGCCAGCAAGCTGGAAGTTTGACAGCATTACTGTTGATACTGCAAATCCTGCATGACCTTACCATACTGCTGTACCATCATTCCCAAGATACAAGGTTCCTGGGGTCACACAAGATTTTTAGCATCCACCGTATGGACCTTAACAGCATCGTCCTTCTATGTGTGCCTGGCTACACGGGGGGCGGGGGGGCGGGGGGGGGCGTTTGTCAGAATCAGAACTGCCAAACCCCAAAGAGTCCAAGTATCGATATCCTGGGGCCTGCAGAGAAGGTTCCAAATCATGTGATGATAGTTTCCCAAAATAAGGGGACCCCAATAAACACACCAAAATACTACATTCCTTATTTTAGTTATCCCCCCCCCCCCCGGTACCCCGAATTTTGGGAGACACCTAAACCCTATCAACCTTATATATCCATATATAATCCCATATAATCCCTATATATCCCCTATTAACCCCCTTTAGATGCCTCTAAATTTGGGAAATCCCCGTAAAG